TTCTCACCACAGGACCTTCCTCCTGGTGTCTGATAATACTTGTGCTCCTTAGTCCTCCAGCAGCACACCCTCTCACTCTCAGCTCCTTGCGCCTCTTGCTCCCAGCTCCTCACACTCGCACCACAAATTGAAGTGAGCTCCTTTTTAAAGCCCAGGTGCCCTGATTAGCCTGCCTTAATGGATTCTAGCAGCTTCTTCTTAATTGGCTCCATGTGTCCTAATTATCCTGCCTGCCTTAACTGGTTCTAGCAGGTTCCTGATTACTCTAGTGCAGCCCCTGCTCTGGACACTCAAGGATCAGAAAACTACTCATCCAGTGACCAGTATATTTGTCCTCTACCAGACTCCTGTACCCCACTGGTCTGCGTCTGTCACAGTCCTTATAATGATTCATGTGTTAAAGTTGCAATCCACGGTCACTGACCCTATTTGACATTTCACTGAACTATATAGACCCCATCCCATCCACCCCCCAGTTAGCCTTTTGTTAAATTTATGCCTGCAGATTTTTTTTGTCTTGCAATTGCAGTTTTAAGACCTTAAATTACAGAGCGGCAAATCTTCAATATGTTTGCTCATTCCGTGTGTACATTGGAGGCTGGGGCAAATTATCTGTGAACAGTTGCTAGGACAGTTTATTGATTTACCCCCTAGCTGAGGGAATTGCCATGTTCCATAACTTTCAGGGAACAGTTGAATTTGCTCTCTTACATAGGAGGAAAATCTCCCTGCTGTGCCTTATTCCAGAATTCTGGCTCTGAACAAACCTGAGTGGCTGCATATATTCTTTGGCGTGATTGCTGCTGCCTTCTCTGGTGGCGTCCACCCTGCATTTTCTGTTCTATATGGAAAAATCATTGGGGTAAGTTCAGAACTGTATGGTAAACTAACTTGAGCCAGGCACAAATGCAGAACTTTAAATCCTGCCTGACCCTCCATCTAGTCGTCTCTAGTGATGCCTTAGAGCCTCCTTCTACTTCCACTGTCATTGAACTCTACATGTTTTTCCTTTGACTTTAGTAGGAACTTGATCAAGCCCTTGATCTCATCTCCCCACTTGAGACTTCTTGCCTATTTTCCAGCCGTGTATTTGGAATGACTTCACCTTTCCAGTGAAGCAAATCACCTTCCCTTATCAAACTCAGTTTTCATTTACCACTCTCCACTGTTGTGCAGACTCCCTGCCTTGTACCTGACCCTGCTCTTTGCATTGTACCCATTCTTTTCAGACAGTAAGCTCCTTCAAGGTACCTTGCATTCCAACATGGTTGTAAGTACCAGGGACATCCATGGGACGGTCTGAATAATTAACCCCTTAATTCCTGAATCATTACAGGAAAGAAATGGAGTCTTCCTTTGGATTCCAGTATATGATTGTTGGAAGCTACTAGGAGTTGGAGCAGCAGCCAGGGAGAATGGTTGGAGCAAGATGTTTAGGGAATCTTTTATCTTCAGGCAAGAGAAGAGGGGTGCTGTAGTCAGCTGGAGGGGAAGTCGATGGTCTGCCGGAGTGACAGCATTCAGTGAAAGGCAGATAAGAGCTGGTGAAGTGGCAGCCTGGAGGCAGGGTTTAATGGGACTGCAGCTCACAGGCAAATGAGGAGAGGGTCTGGTGGAGGGATGGAGAAGGAGCAGCTGATGAGAGGCAGGTCAGCCGGGAGAGGTGGAGTGACCTCCTGGCCAGCAGCAGAAAGCAGAGAGGTGGCAGAGTTCAGTGCTGGGGAAGAGCTGAGAGAAGGTGAAGTTCAATAGTGTCTACAGTGTTTCCGGAGCTATTGTAACTGATCACTTTGTGCTTTTCT